GTACTGGGGCTACTTCCTTGTTGCCGGGTAGATTTGCAGCAGGCCCGGATATGTCCGTAAAAGGCACTCAAGAGTTCTAGCGGGGGGGCAAGGCCCCCCACACACGCCCATTTGCAGTTCTTTTCTAGAGCACATACCTCAGAAGCAAGTTGCTGACTTCAAATTAAACTATTATTAGGCTGGCCTGTGCTCAGACTAGGACGTGCACAAGTTCAACATTCAAAGAAAGACCAGGAGCTGCTAATTAGTCTTCTAACTGTGTAGGTCCCTGACTTACAAAAAATTTTCATATCCAAATTATTTCTTGTTGGATCCTCACAAAGCTCCTATTAGTTGACTATGAGCTTCATGTCATGGATATGTATCTGGCTTAAGGTCTGGTTAATATCAGATCTCGAACCTATAGTTTCTGGCTGCATTTTTGTGCACATGGAGATGGGATTTCTTTTTTTTTTTTGTATCTTTATTTTCCAGGGTATCTTAAGTATGTCTTCCTTCTCAAAGGCTAAGAGAAAATGGAGGTACTAGAGGGAATAGGGCTTTTGTGATAAATAGCAAATCTAAAGTCCTAATTGTATGTATGAGGATGCATTTGAATTGACAGTGTGTTCTCTATTTGGTTTAGAAGCATTCTCCACTGGAGGGCTTTCCTGTTCACTGAAAACTCAGTCGCCTTTCCAGTCTCTTCAGTGTGGGGAGAGGCTAAGCCAAGAACACTGCTATAGCTCATCAAAGAGGGGGCAGTGTTATCACAACTGCTTCTGCCCCATGGCTGTGAAAGCTGGCTCTGTTTTGTGGACTTTGCCCTTCCCTGCCCTGCCAGGGCTGGTGTACAGTGATAAAGATAACAAATGACCCCATCTGCTGTTCACTCATGACCACACTCCATGTGTCAAGCTTAAACAGGAAGTCTTACCTGGCGTCCTGTCTGGGCAACCATAGTGACCTGGCAGTGGTATCCACACCCGTCTGAGATCACAGACCGAGACTAATTTCCAACTCACTGAATTCCTGGGGAAGTTTAGTTATCTAAATCAAGGAATGTGAACACCTTGAGCTCATTCAGTGAATTCAAGTGAGTGTAATTAGATATTTTCTAGAAATCAAGTCTGTGTATAGGATTATTGGCTAGGCACAATGAAAAAATCTGGAAAACTTGGAGTATTTTCAAAATGAATTGTGTACAGAGTTTCATATTTAGAGACAAGTAAAATATAAATGACACGTATGGAAATAATTGTCCGTGGTCCCTATCAGGTACCAGGATGTGTACAGGAACTGTTCTGGAGACACTAGAACTTTCAGGGCTCTGTTCTATATCCCTGGTGTTTGCTACAATCCGCTGCGGGACATTTAACATCTGTATTTGGAAAGCATTCCATAGTGGATTCTGATAGTCAAAGTCTCCTTTCAAGAAAGTCTGTTGATTTCTATTCAGAGAAAAAGAAGTTCAAATCAAAGACAGACATCTTAGGGGCGTTAAGTCTTTACTCCGTTTCCTGTTGCATTGTCTGCCTATCAGTTATTAAAAATCACCATCTAAAATCACCTTTTTAAACTTTATTTTAAACTTTTATTTTTAATCCTTACCCATCACATTCAACCTCCCAGTGGAAATATCCTCTCTTTCAATTTGACCTAAAAATTGTTTAATGAATAAAAACAACTTCAAAGAGCATCTTTATCCAAATTTCTCCTTACACATAAAGGCATAAAGACCCACTATATTAGGTGATTTAAGAATTTCCATATCCGCAATGAATGAATCAGTATAGGAACCTGGGTCTCACTACTCTAGTGTTGGTGACTGTGTGTTGATTACTTTCAAGTTGTGATCTACTCAAATACATTTGTCCAGGAAATATTAAGTAACTGCCAATATGCCAGGCACTTCATTAGGTGTGGTGATGAATAGAAATGCAATAATATTCTTCTTGCTTCAAGGAATTTATTATCTAGTATGAACCATAAATCATATCTACTTAAACTATTCCCCCAAATGATTACTCCTTTAATATGAAAAAAACCAAAACCAAAAACAAAGCACAGACCCTTTGGTGTATTCACCAATAACACAGAAATTTGGCTTATACATTTTGGTAAAGAGTCAAACATATTGCACAGTATATAATTTTCAGTTACTGAATCCATTCACCTATGTATTTGTTACCTGAGATATTGTTACAGTCACCATGAGAGCACTGGTAGTGAACCCATGGCTCTCTGTATGGAATTGTTGGGTGAATCCTCTAGGTTCCTTTACCATATTGTCTTTGGTCATGTAATTCACTGATCTCCTAATGGTCACAGTGAGGAAGGGGTAGAAAGGGGTTGGAGCAAATAATGAGTTAAAATTTTCTTTTTAGGCCCTTAATCAAGGCTTGGATTCACCTAGCTACACAAGCAGTACACTTGTTAGTACAAGACAGGCGAAAATTCCGTATTGTCAGCAAAATGTTGATGGTATCAAAATAAATATTAGTCATGTAATTTCAGCTTTTGAAGGTAGGGTTTTAGAAACTAAAGAAGCTTTCCTCCCTGGGTAGTGAGTGAGACAGGAGCAGCCCCGTGGGAATGGAAGACCAGCACCCCCCCCCCCAGTCACTGGGTTACAGAGGTCGCTAGCAGCCTGCCTAAGTCTGCAGCATCTAAGGAAAGGGACAGTTTCTCGCTCTCCCTCAATATTCTGATGCAGCATGAAGCAAACACCTCTGTTTTGCATCCTGCAGTCTCAGACAGATCAAAGATTTTAAGAGGTGGAGTTGCTGGTCGGTTTCATGGCTCTGGGCTAATTATTCATCTGAGAATCAGACTAAGAAAGTTGCTAAGCTGGTTTGCTGGCTGCCTGCTGAAGATTTTTAAAGAAATATTGCCACATTGGAAGAGAGACTTTTATTTTACATAAAAATGATACCTAGAGAGGCAATGAGAAGACAAGTTGTACCATTACAAGATAAATTGGACTTCTTTTAATTTTCACCCTTAAAAACTATGCTTAAAAGTGAGCCGATGAGCATGATGTAACTGTGCATCAAACATTGATTTAAAAGGTAGATTAAAAAATTTTTTTTCCAGGCAGTGCTTTTAAACTATGAATGAATGGGAATAAATTGGAAATATGCCATAGATTACTGTAGGAAAATCATGATAAAATATTACTCAGTAAATGTGGTTTACAGCTCTACACACATATGTGCACACATACAAACAAAACGACCTTTCTTAATTAAAAAAATGAAAGATAATGCATACTTGATTCCTTATTATTCTTTCTTAAATGAAATCTGCTTAGACAAGTAAAAAAGATAAGAAAGAGATCCTTTTACAAATGTCTTTTCCAGTTAGTTTTCTGGTAACTTCAATTAGGCAGAGATTCTGTACTCCCACGTGTCTTTCCCAAATCTTAGTAGGAGAGATGTAAGTTAAAAAACTACAACTACCTGGATGTCATAGGTTACAGGCCTATAACCTCAGCATTTTGTGAAGCTGAGGCAGGAGGATGACAAATTTGAGCCCAGCCAGGGCAGTTTAGCAACTTAACCAGACCCTGTCTCAAAATAAAAACTAAAATAGGGCTGGGATGGATCTCAGTATGAAAGCCCTGGGTTCAAGCCCCAGTACACACACACACACACACACACACACACAACTAAATCATGGCCAGGAGCAATGATGCATGCCTGTAGTCCTAGCGCTACGGGGGCTAAAACAGAAGAATCACAGTATCCTGAGCCCAGGAGTTCAAGACCAGCCTGGGCAATATAGGAAGATCTCATTTCAAATAGTAATAATAAATGATTACAAATAAGTTAATGGTTTAACAAGATGTAAAGTCTCTTGATATTCTGGCAGGGTTGAATTAGATATTCCTTTGAGTCTGCACGGCTCCTATTTCTTTCATTATTTGTGTCCAGTAAAGGGTTCATTGAATGAATTGCTAACTACATCTATGATTATTTTCCTTTTTTAATGACACAGGTCTTGAGTTGGACTTAGTATGTGAATATTTTATGTGTTTTTAGTGATAACATACATTTGATGAAAATTTATTCTACCAAATTCAGTTATAAAACCTATGATAAGACATAGAGTGAGAAGTAGGAGGATTTGAGTGACCCACAAGGACTGCAGCACTTTCCATTAAAACATTACTGACCTTAGATTAGGTGTTAAGAAGGGCATCTAGTAGAAGAGAAAGAACACATTGAAGGGAAGCAAGAATGGTAAAGGCATTTTCTTATCAGTTGGACATGGTTTTGACATGCCATTGTGCAGCACATCTTTAATCAGCAAAGAGATTTTGAATGCATCTTTACTTTCTTTACACAGGGTCAAGGACAAGCATACACAGCCCCACCTCTATCATGCCAGTAACCCACTAGCTCATGGGATGTTATATAATGCCTAGGTCCTCCTGTGCACTTTGCTTATGAGAAAGCAGTTACAAATGGCTCTCCTTCTGCAGCAATTCCTGCAGAACAAATTACAGTACACAAACCAAGGCAGTGTACCCAGGACTCTGGGAGGCTGATGCAGGAGGGTTGCAGGTTTGAGCACAGCCTGGTCAGTGTAGCAACTTAGCAAGATCCTGTCTTACAATAATAAAAAATTTAAAAACAAAGACAAAAAGGGCCGGGTATGTAGCTCGGTGTGAATGTCCTGCATTTAATCCTCAGTACTGGAGAAACCAAAAACCCACCAACAACCAGCCTGGAAGGAGAACCTGCCTGAGTTCAGATAAGGCTCTACCACTTCCGAGTTGGCCGACTTCAAGTAAGTTACTCACTTGATGTAGCCAAGCCTCAGGTACTTCATCTGTGGTATGGAGTAATAATTTTATCAAATTCCCAAGATGGTTGTGAAGATTAAAGATGATAATCCCTGCAACATGCTTAGTATGTAGTAGACTCTCAGAAAATATTAGTGTTTTCCTCCCTCCCAGAAATGGTTTTTGAGGTTCCAACTGATCTTTAGTTCATATTGTAATTAATGTTCCAAGGTAAGAGTCTTTCTGTATTCCTACTTCTCTTAAAATATACAATTTAATTTGAAATGCATACAAATGCCTTTCACAAATTTGAATGTAAAATGAAGAAATAAGTTTGGAAGTAATTAGGCAATTGGCCAAATTGGAATCAATCTCCAACTTTCTATCCTTCTTGCATGTACATTGCTGATAATTTCCTTGCTTGCTCATGACTGTTCAGGAGCCAAGAGGGATTGGGACAGTTTTGTCCAGGGAGTCAGCATTTAATGTACCTCATTCTAGGTGGTTAATGATTGGGAAATTCTAATGGAGGGAAAATTATACTTCAGAGAATTAGTACCAGGGAGAGTGCAATTCAGCTCAATAAAGAGTACTATTAGCAAAACAAATATGGTTTTTGAATACATAGACAAAAAAATCTCCCTCATGTATTTATTCTTCTTCTAAAATATGCCAGAGACCCCTGGCCTGCGTCCCTCGTCATATATACACTCTTCATGTGAGAAGACTAGCAGGAAGAGGGAGACCTGGGGACCATCCCGACACTGGTGAAGATTTTGCAATCTCCAGTCAAATCCATAGACATCCTCAGTTCCTGCAAACATGATACTCCATCTGCTTGTCCCATTTAAATGTAGTCTTTATAGAACCTGAGTAATTGTTAAAATGTATTTTCATAAAATAATTTTGTCATCTGATGCCAAGCATGTTGTCTTAAGTGCATTGCTGCTTTGGAATTTAATGTTTTATCTATTTTTGTGGTCTCTCCTTAATTGTTATGTATGCTATTCATACATGTTTCATGGCTTAGGCACCCAAGCAACGATGATCTTTCTGCCATTTATGCCAACACACTATTTATACTACCTGAAGATTGCAAATCCAAGGCATTACTAGATGACACTGTATCACAGCATTACGGTAGAGTTTACTTCCCAAATAAAGCTTTTCTTGTGCGTCAATATTAAATTGGCTTATATTCTCTCATCACACATGGTGAAAATTGTGGAAGAAGGCAGACTAGGAGTTTCAAGACAGTGGGAGTGAAGAGTGTACATACTTGTGTCTGAATACCAGAAAAATCCTTAAGGATGGTATTTGGTTGAAATAATACCAATGTAGTTATTAAAAATAATACCAATGTAGTTCACTAAAAATAATACAACTGTTCTGAATTATACCATTATCAAATATTACTACTTTTTTTTTCTTACAAAGTAAGGTAAATTAAATGTAAAAGTTATTTTTATTATTCATCAATCATAGAATATTCTTCTCAGAAAAAATTACCTATCTACATTCATCTCTTTGTTAACCCTCTTGATCAAAGTTTCCTTGCCAAAAACAGCTGAAGCGTTGAAAACTACAAAAATATTTGAGGATATAAATGAATGTGAAAGAAAGAAAAGACTGCTCATTTGAAATGATTACATGAATACTGAGGACCAAACAACAAATAACGAACTGCATTAGACATTAAAAATGACACAGTCACATCATGAGATTCTCTGATGTAATTACAAGAGGTGAAACAAGCTACAAGGTCATCAAACTCATTCCAGGGAAGGGCTATTTTTCTTATTTTAGTAACACTGACAACAATACATATTTTCAAGATAGTCTCAGAATTTTAATGGACAGAAGTACTTGAATGTTCAATATCAACAGAGTGTGATGTTGCAGTACCTACAGGTTCCTAATTTTTCTACAACACATGGAGAAGATTTTTGAAAATGGTGGAGGAAGATTTTTGAAAAGGAACAAATATTCTTGCTTTTTCCATAATCTAAACTTTTTCATAATTTGATCAATCTAGACTTTAAATAAATTGAGTTTACCTAACAAGTCTGCTCACAAACACCACTATATCGCCCAACAATGTAGGCTCTATGAAGAAACAGGGTGTATTTAAATTAAAAAATTTATTACAGTAAAAGACATATTCCCATTATTTCCCTTCAAAATACTCTACTTGCTTTGAACACACTCATCCTTTTGTTCTTACCACCTTCTGGAGCAGTTCTGGAAGTCCTTTTTCATGAGTGTCTTTAGTTGGGCTGTCATTGCTGCCTCAGTGTCCTGAATTGATTCAAAACATGGACCTTTCATGGTCATTTTGACTTTGGGGAAGAGCAAGAAATCCCATGGTGCCAAATCAAGTGAATAAGGTGGTTAAAGACACATGGTAAAGTTTTATGAGCCTGTCTTTTTCTTAGATGGCACTTGATGGCATTGTTTAATGTACTTTTGATCATACCTTGTAAAGACACTAATGAAAAGGGACTTCCAGAGTTGCTTCAGAAAGTGGCAAGAGCAAAGGGATAAGTGTGTTCCAAGTGAGTGGGAGTATTTTGAGGAGAACTGATGCAATATACCTTTTACTGTAAATTTTTTTTATTTAAACACATATCATATTTTATCAGTCCTTGTATGTCACTTTCATTTTATTATTGATCATGACTCATTTTATTAGAAATAGTTTTCATATCAAGCTGAGACTTTAGTACCCATTCACACTCTTCCTATATTTCTATTGAACACATATCTCTGTTCTCCTTAATAATCAGTCCTACCTTTTCAAAGTCATATCATTCTATTTCATTTACTTGTTAATCATTCCTATTTTTAAAATAAGTTTTTTGAAGTATATTTGGGCAGCAAATTTCATTTTGGACATTTTATTTTATTTTTATTTTTAAAAAATTTTATTTTA